TGTAGGCTTATGGTTGGATGTTTCTTACGCGTTGTGTGTTGTGTGTGTGCAGTACACAACACACAACGCGTAAGAAACATCCAACCATAAGCCTACACAACCTCAAGTTGACACTTCCCATCATCGGGACGAATCAACTAGAAGGAGCCGAACATTTTACTTTAAATGTTTTAAAACTTTTAAATATTTTAACATTGACGGCTCAATTTGAGGGCAATTTTCAGATGGAATGCAAGAGTTGTACGTGCATTCAATGCTACTAGAAAGTGTTGTGCTTTTACACTTCGACACCTGTAACAGCGTCCACGCAGCTTACATACTGTGTACATTAAACAACGCCAGTGTTTTCATGTGTTTGTAATACGTGCCTCTGATGATGGTTTCTCTTGAACCGAAACATGTAAGTCAAGTGAGATAAATAAGTGACCTAAAAACATTGTTACACTCGACGGATTTTTCATTGACAATTTGTTCATTTTCATAATAAATTCTAACATCACATACCCAAATATTACCAGTTCATTCAGAATATCAATAATAGTATATATTGTAACAGATTCGATCAATGCGTTGCCAGGCAACAGCACTGTAAACATGGTCCAACATGCAACAGTAGGGGAAGATGTTTTTCTGTAGATCCAACCGACGCGTCAATTGACTGACTGGATAGCTATCACATGATATGTGTTTGCTGTAGCTCCACGTCCGTTCCACGAGAACCATGAGCTGTATGTTCAGAGTGAATTGGAACCAGGAGTATGGAAGACAAGAGGTCAGCCTGCGAGGATTTAATGTGCGATTTTAAGACTTTATGTGTGCAGTAGTACAGTGATATTGGGAGTGTGTGATTTAGTGACACTTTTATAGTTCATGTGTTATAAATCTGTTTCCAGGAAATGGATAGTGAAGATTTGTGGAAATAAACTAAGAAGATTAGTGTGGAGCAATTGTAAATTGTGTAAATCAGCAATACTGTTATAATTAATTGTAGTTATAACCTGTATGTTGTTAATACAGGGTGTATCACAACTCAATGACAAAACTTCAGGAACGGACTCCTCATATAGAGAGAAGAAAAAAGTATATGACAACATGGGTCCAGCAGTGCATATAATTACAGAGTAGTAATTGTGTCTGCACGCCACTGAAAAGAACTGGCGACATGAGTGCTTTCTATCGGTGGATCAGCCTTTCACTGGGAGGACAGCTCTATTATTATCATGACGTCACCTGTGATTACTTCGTGATAAATTTTCCTCTGCCAATTCTTTTCAGTGGCATGCAGACACAATTACTACTCTGTAATTATATGCATTTCTGGACCCATGTTGTCATAAACTTTCTTTCTTCTCTCTACATGAGGAGTCCGTTCCTGAAGTTTTGCCATTGAGTTGTGATACACCCTGTATATCCAGTTACCAATCTGAACCCCGTCTTTAGACACAGATACATGTGAAAATATGAAGACAAGAGAGTATTCATTCAAGACCTACCTTACTTTTACAGTAATTTACAAAATTGCAAAGTATTTAAAACTTGATGCTCTGTATTAACAGTCAACAATTAATTTCAATAATTCTTCACTTCATGGTCCAGGCAATCAGCCTGCTGTGACTTCACATATACATTCCACCTTTTCCAAGGTCTTCTTGGTCTCAGAACTCTTTTGGTAAATACTGCAGAATCTGTTCCAGTATTCCACCACTTCAAGGTCATCATCATCATCATCAGTAATCTGTCAAGACGACAGGTCCACAGTCTCTTTCAAAACAATTCCTCCACTTAATGCGATCTAGAGCTTTCTCCTTCAAATGACAGTATCCTCTTCTGTCCCCAAGGTCATCCAGCATCTTCTTACGTCTTCTTCCTCGTCTTCTTGTCACTTCTATCCGCCCATCTATCTTTCCTTCGATAGCTTCTTTTAGAAGGCAGTTTCTGCGTAAAACATGACCAATCCAATTAGCCTTCCGTTTTCTTATTTCATGTAGGATATTCCTCTGCTCACTGACTCTAATTAACACTTCTTCATTTCTCACATAATCGGTCCAACTGATCTTCTCCATTCTTCTCCAACACCACATTTCGAAACTTTCCAGATGTTTCTGATCTACTGCCCTAAGTGTCCATGTTTCAGCCCCATACAGAGCTATGCTCCAAATGTAGCATTTCACTAGTTTCTTCCTCAAATTTAAGTCCAATTTGCTGGTAAAAAGATTCTTCTTCTTGCTAAATGCAGCTTTTGCCATGGCAATCCTGGATTTAATTTCACAAGTACACCTTCCATCATCTGTTAACAAGCTACCCAAATATTTAAAACATTTCACATTCTCCACTTGTTTTTGGTCTATCTTTATTGTGACTGGGGTTGGTTGTCTCGAAATTTTCATTACTTTTGTTTTCTCCACATTCATTTCCATGCCATAGCACCTTCCAATTTCAATTAGTCTATCAATCATGCCCTGTAGCACAGTTTCTTCCTTAGCCATTAACACAAGGTCATCTGCATATTTCACAGTTTGAATAATTTGCCCTCCTACTTTGAAGTCACCGAGCCCATCCAGAGCTTCCTTGGTAAGGCATTCGCTGTACAAGTTGAACAGAATTGGTGATAAACAGCATCCTTGTCGAACTCCTCTTCCAATCTGCACACTTCCTGTCTCCCCCCTGTCCAGTCGTACTCTAACTTTCTGATCCATGTACAATTTGCTAATCAATCTTCTTTCATGCCAATCGATACCTGTTTCTTTCAGGATCTGCATTAATTTGGTCCAGTTTACCCGGTCAAATGCCTTCTGCCAGTCTATGAAGCAAACACACAGTTCTTCATCTATCTCCAAAGTTCGTTCCGCTATAATTCTCATCATCCCAATTGCATCCCTGGTTCCTTTTCCTCTTCTAAATCCAAACTGATCTTCTCCAAGTACATCCTCTATTTTCCTTTCAATTCTTCTTTTAAGTATCTTTGCTATTATCTTTGCTGTATGTGCAATAAGACTTATTGTGCGATGGTCGCTGCATTTTGTAGCTTTTGTCTTTTTCTTTAAGGCAATCATTGTAACTTCTGTAAAGTCCTTGGGCCACTCTCCACTTTCATATATGGTGTTCATTAGTTTTGTCAGTGTTTTCAAACCACCTTCTCCCAGTAACTTGAGCACATCTCCAGGTACATCATCATCTCCTGTAGCCTTTCCCTTCCTCATTTCCTTGATAGCTTTTTCCACCTCACTTTGTAAAATATATGGTCCTTTCTCGTCTGTATCTACTTCTTCTTCCGGTTCAACTTCTAAGGTTTCTGGCCGATTAGGTCGATCATATAGTTCTGAAATATAATTTTCCCAAATTTTCAGCACTTGCCTCTGATCTACTATTCTATTCCCCTGGGAGTCTTCGATGCCAACATTTTGAATCCCATGATTCTCTTTCCATCCTAGTTCTTTTGTCTTCATGTACATCAAATCATAACGGCCTGTTCTTTGAAATTCCATAATCTCATTACATATCTTCTCAAGATATTCCTTTTTGGCCCTGTCCGTGGCTCTTTTCAATTCATTCCTCAGTCTCCTGTATTTCCTCCTGCCTTCTTCATTGTTGACATTCTTCCATTTCCTTCGCTCCTCCATTTTACTCATCATCTCCTGTGTAACCCATGGTTTTCTTGCTATCTTCTCAACTTTACCTACCAAATCACTGATAGTATCTAACATGCATTCTTTTATATCGTTCCACTGCGCTTCAGCATTTCCGCTTTCACCTTCAATTGCACCGAGTTTCTCTTCTAGAGTCTCTTGCACGCTTTGTCTTTGAGCATATAACTTCTCCAAATCCCATCTGGGTCTGCGCTTTCGAAATCCTATAATTTTCTTCAACCTGGTTCGGAACTTGGCAACCAGCAAGTTGTGGTCAGAGTCAATGTCTGCCCCAGGAAGCGTCTTCACATCCTTCACACTGTTTCTGAATCGATGTTTCACAAGGATGTAGTCCAGCTGATGCCTCTTCCAATCCCCAGGTGCCTTCCATGTGTAAATTCTTCTCTTTGGCTTCTTGAACCAAGTGTTGGTAACAATCAATCCATTTCGTTCACAAAAGTCAATAAGCATTTGACCTCTGTGATTCCGTCTTCCTAGTCCATGTGATCCAACAATATTCTGATATGGTTCATCTCCAACAATGCTGTTCCAGTCTCCCAATATGATGCTGTTTGTGTCTCCTCTTCCATCTTCCTGAAGAATTTCTTCAATTGTGTCATACACTTTTTCCACTTCATCATCTTCATACTCTGATGTTGGCATGTACACTTGTATAATCAGTATATCTACCGGTTCCGCCTTTAACTTCAGAGCAATAATTCTGTCATTACAAGCAATCTTCTTAACAACACCACTTCACTTCAAGGTACCCATCTCAAAAAAGTGTGTATGACCACTGTGATATAAAAGTTGAAATACACTGTTATACAAACTGAGCATGAGGGAGCATCACATGCCAGTGTGCATATGCCCTTCTTTCTGGAAACACTGAAATTCGCTTTCCCCCTTCATTCTAGACTTCTTTGCAAATGCCTCATTTAGCCATGATGGCACAACTGTTTCCAAAGTCATAAAATGCATAAAACTGTAGTTGCAAGGCTATGAGAAGTTAGGCAGTCTGACTATGGTCGTGTGTGGAGAACAAGATGTGAAGCCAGAAATGCTGTGACTTGGAAGTTATTTCGGTGTAAGACATATGAAGAGGGGGGTGCAGTGGCACAGGATGAAGAAAAATAAGGTGATATCAAGATCGTAAATGGCTACTAACAGTGAAACACTAATTGTCCCAAAACATGACACTACAATATACGTAGGACGTACCGAAAGTCATGAGCAACTTTTTTTGCATGCAACCTGGGAACAGCAGACGAAAGAGAGTATGGTGGTAGGTGGAACCAGCTGTTGTGTTAACCTTGAGTGTCTTGTGATGTCAATAGCTTGCATCACGTGACCAGTATCACTCCTTACAAAATGGCTGACGATATGTTGTTTCACCAGTGTGCTGTCATTGAATTTCTTGTGAAAGAGGAAATCCTTGCTGCAGAAATTCACCAGACTTCAGCGTTCTTATGGAAGTGTGCGCATGGGTGCAAGCAGTGTTCGAAGATGGGTGAAACATTTCAAAGATGGGACTACCAGCATCGAAGATGAGCCTCGGATTGGTCGTCCTCGAACAGCCTCAACTGAACGCAACAAGGATAGAGTGGATGAGATCATTCAAGATGACAGGCGTGTGACTGTGGACACAACAGCCCAAAAACTTGGAATAAGGCACAGTGCTGTACACGAGATGATTGAAAGCTTGGGCTACAGGAAAGTTTGTGCTCATTGGGTCCCGCGGTTATTGACTGAAGACGACAAAGGTCAGCGAAAAGCCATCACCTCAGAACTGCTGCAGAGATATCAACACGAAGGCGATGATTTTTTGCTCTGTATTGTGACAGGTGACAAAAGCTGGTTTCACTATTTTGAGCCTGAAATGAAATGGCACCATTTGCATTCTCCGTCAAAAAAGAAGGCAAAGACAGTGCCATCAGCTGCGAAAGTGATGGACACAGTCTTCTGGGATGCAGAGGGGTTTATTCTGGCTGAATTTCTGGAACCTGGGCACACCATCAATGCTGCTCGTTATGTCCAGACGCTGCACAACCTCTGTCATGCATTGCGCGATAAACATCCGGGACGAAACATCATCATCCTGCATGACAATGCTCGCCCCACATTGGAAGCAATTGCAAAGATGGGGTGGGAAGTTCTTCCACGTATAGCCCTGATCTGGCAACCTCCAACTACCATCTTTTCGGATTTGTGAAGGATCAGCTGCGTGGACAACGTTTTGAGACAAGGGAGGCAATTCAGAAAGCAGTGCGTCAGTGTCTTTGGATGGCTGGAAGAGAATTTTACAGAAGGAGAATTTTCAAACTCCCAGAACGCTGGGAGAAATGTGTACAAAGAAGTGGTGATTATGTGGAAAAATAAAGAAAGGTCTGTAGATTGAGGTGGTGTATTTGGTTTGTCAATTAAAAATCATGTTACTTTACAAAAAATTGTTGCTCATGATTTTTAGTACAACCCTCGTATATAGCTGGGGTGGGCTCACTTATTTATTTACAGTGGAACCTTGCTTAACGAGCACCTCTCATAAAAAGCAAAACAAAGTGGAAAAAACTGACTTGCATAACGAGTGACAAGAGGGGAAGTCCAGGATTGTGCGCTTGCTACATCAGTCTGTGTTTAGCACTCGTTCTGCTAGCATGTTAGTGTCGCTTGTGATCACACATTTTTCCAAACTTGTGTTCAGGCATATTATTTGTGATTTTTTTTTGTGCAAAGTTTAATAACCCTTGCAAAAATGTCCCCAAGGAAAAAGCCGCAAAAAGACAGCCATAAGAGAATAAAAATAACCTTAGAAATGAAACGTAAAATCATTGAAAAGCGAGAATGAGGTGTGAGCGTGGCTGATCCAGCACACACATACAATCGGTCTACATCAACGATTTTCACGATTTGGTGTTGCATTATGTTTCACAGCAAGAAGTTGTGGAGGAGAGTGTGTCAGAGGAGGAGGAGGAGGAGGTAACAGCGAAGCAACAATCTTCTGGCGCAATTAGAGAAATGCTGAAACCATGGGAAACTGTTGCATCATACATTGAGAAGCATCACCCTAATAAGGCAGTGGCTATGCGCGCTACAAATTTATTTAATGATACTGCTGTGTTGCATTTTCACCAAATTTTGAAGCGTCAGCAAAAACAAATGTCTCTTATACAGCCTTCATGTATCACAAATAATAAACTAATTATTTCGATTTTTTTTTCTGCAAATCGAATTCGCATTCCAGGTTGGTTCATTCCATATAGAAGAAAAGATGAAGATGATTCATGCTCCTTAACAATGCATATATATTTTTCTTTGAATAAACGTTGTACATAACATTTTTTTAGTATTTTTTCGGCATGGAACGCATTATTGTATTTTACATTAATTTACATGGGAAAAATTGTTTCACATTACGAGTAAGATTCTGGAACGAATTATGCTCATTAAGCGAGGTTCCACTGCATTTTTTATGACTTATTTAATGACATTACCAATATTTCAAACTATGCAGTGATAATTTTAATTTCATGCATCCTGCTGTGTTACAATATGTACAACCTCTTTATTTGACTGTCACAACACAGCAAATATAGAACATGTAGCAGAACTATACTGAGCATTGTCCTTGAAGTTCTATATTTCCTGTGTTGTGACGATCAAATAAAGAGGTTGTATATACAGTGATAAATGGTTGGATGATGAATGATTGGAAAGGATGTGGTCTAATTTGAGGTCCTACTGGCATTTACCTGGAGGGACTTATGAAAACTACAGACCTCCTACGATACCTCAGTAACATCCTACCTAAACAATTTCAATTTCTAAGATACTTCCAACCATACAGGAATCTGATGTACCGTTTACCCTTACCGGATCAGCTAATATGATGACTCGCACTGTTGCTTTCCCTGGTGTGTCCAGTGATATAAGTGGTGTCAATATCTTGTGGTTTGTGGCTTTAATCTTTTCATCTATTTGTGGCTGTTCTTTAAAAGGGCATGAAAAGGCAATGCGTCCATATGCCTTGGCATGCTCCACAGTGGTACCTTTCAAATAGAAATAAAATCAATTTCTACCTCACAGGAAACAAAATGTGTTTCCATTACAAAGACCAACTGGTTAATTCTATATAGGGAAATAACTGCTGCTTATTCTAAGAAAGATAAAAAATGCATTCTAGGCAAAATATGAACACAAAAGACGTAAATTTTTCTGTGTGCTTATTAACTAATCACAACGCTATTAAGATCCATGAGGGAGTGAAGATATACGTAGGTAAGTCAACAAGTAAGTTACAAATGGATAAAGAACTTAAACAAATAAGAGTATTGATTTGAAAATTGCTTTTATTTTTCAACATAATCTCCCTTTACATTGAGGCACTTGTCCCATCATTTCACAAGCCCCTGAAAACCAGCAGCATAAAATTCTTTGGGCTGCTGTCGGAACCGGGCAGTGACTTCCCTTTACATGGAACATTTACATCCTGAGGATGTTACAGTAGGAGACATAAATGCTGACTCCTACTGTAACATCCTCAGGAACCTTCGTAAGGCCATTCAACGGAAGCGACCAGGACTCCTCACCAAAGGCGTGTTGCTCTTGCATGACAACACGTGTCCCCGTACTGCCAACAAGACAAATGAGATGCTGTGAAATTTCAAGTGGGAAGCCCTCAAGAATCCTCTGTATAGCCCCAACCTTGCTCCAAGCGACTTCCATTTGTTCGGCCCTCTTAAACATCATCTTTCGGCTGAACATTTTCCCAATGATGAAGCTGTAGAAAGGGAAGTCTCCGCCTGGTTCCGACAGCAGCCCAAAGAATTTTATGCTGCTGGTCTTCAGGGGCTTGTGAAACGATGGGACAAGTGCCTCAATGTACAGGGATTTTATGTTGAGAACTAAAAGTATTTTTCAAACCAGTATTCTTATTTGTTTAAGTTCTGTATCCATTTGTAGCTTACTTATTGATTTACTCTCATAGATGGTATATACAGTGATCAGTGTGCTTTACAAGATAAAGTTCATGTTTAAGGACTAGCACTGTGCCATATGACCTACAGTCATTTTGAAATCTCAATCTCAATACTGTCAGTTGAGTTACTTGTTTTACAAGGGCTATTCAGAAAGTAACCTCTGGTGAGCTGTTAATAAAACAAGCAATGAGAATGAAATAGTATATAAAAGTATGTAAATACTCGAGTTATTTCTCAATGTAGTCACTGCCAGAATTGAGGCACTTGTATTAAGAAATTAGTTCTTGTATGCCTGTGTCAAAGAAGTCTGCCACCTGTGAGCTCAGCCACATTTGAACACCTTCCATCAACTCCTCTTTACTGTGGAAGAGCTGTGATCCCAACAAGTTCTTCAGGTGGGTAAACAGGTGGTAGTCACTCGGAGTGAGATCAGGGCTGTAAGAAGGGTGGTCAAACAACTCCCAGTTGAATGCTCCAGCAGTGCTGAGTGTGAACGGCTGTATGTGGGTGCTCACTGTAATGGAGAAACACTACACTGTGTGTCAGCATTCCACACCTTTCGTTCTGATTGGCCCTACAGTGTTTTTTATCGTTTCACATACAATACACTTGTGACATTATTGTGGTCCCTTGTTGCATGAATTCCAACATTAGAACTCCTTTCCTCCTCTTGAAAACAGTTACCATCAATCAGCTTTCAGGCACACAACGTTTGTTTAAACGTTTTTGGCTTGTTTGATGAATGTGTGTGCATCCACTGATTTGACTGCTCTTTGTCTTCAACATTTACAAATGAAATCCAGGTTTCATCACCTGTTACTCATACAATCAGACTGAGAAATCCATTGCCATCTTTATGGTTATCACTCTAAAAAAAGTTAAAACAAAGCTGAAGAGTGCATGAAATTTGTGGAAATTCACACAAAAGTTCTAAAATTCTGAAGTGCCATTTTTCACAATTTTCTTGGTCAACCCTTTGCACAAAATCACCAATCATTACAGATGGCTGGCCAGCTGCTTTGCTCTTCATCGTGAACATTTGTTTGCCCACCCATCTTTGAACATTCTACACCACTGTCTTACAGTTACTTCACTCACTACATGTTCGCTGTAAACTGCCACACATAATTCATGATGGATTTCCAGAGCACTCATGTTTTTATCGTGAAGAAGGCGATTAACAGCGAGAATCTCACAGCTGGTGGGATTATCAACTGCAGGACACATCATAACTCACTCTGTAGAGGCAAGAACATATACCAGGTGACCAGTTATGTCATGTGATGCTACCTTGCATGCACAAGCTCTTCCCTACTCTAATATTTGTTGCCTAAAACAAACGGATGTTACTTTCTGAATGGTCCTCGCATGGTTTGATGTCATCAAGTCTTGATTATATCGTAATGGCCGGAGAACACATGTTGCAAGAACAGCCTCCAAAGCAAAGGAATGGGGGTGCACCATTAGGCTATTCGGGACGAACAACCTTAAGGAGGGAGCAGCGTGACATGTTGCGCAATGGAGGACAACCCCTCCCTACCCAGCAGTGATGTGGCAACTCTGGCCACAGTGACGTGGTGGATGAGTCAGTGCTCCGCCCCCCCCCTCCGGAGTGACATAACACGCAACACACCTGTGACACGGGTAACAGCCAACAGCGGTACCGATTGCATAACAGGCAAGCGCTGCGACTATATAAGTGAACCACACTGCCTACGGAGTTGAGTTGAAATGTGGCCGTTGCCGAGTGCAGTTGAAGTCAGTTAAAGCGTATCAGCCGCCGAAGTGAGTTCTCCAGTCAGCAGTGAACGAGTTAGTGTGTGTTAAGGAGTGGCACCGTGAAATATAGCAGCCGCCGAAGACAGTGAGTGTGTGAGAGAGAGAGACTTGTAAAGCTCCCGTAATGAATACGTGTAGACTACTGAAGACAGAGTGAATTGATTTGCGAATGGAGTTATAAATTGTGAAACCCCGCAACAGTGTGAACAGATTATTGTGATTAGGGTTATAAAGTGTGAAACCCCACAACTATGTTATAAATAATTGTAGCCGAGACTGGTAGGTTGTTAAATAAACCAATTAACAATCCAAACAGCGTCTTCAGTAACAAAACACGTTACAGTATGTAACAAAGTGTCAATTTAACATCACTCTTCTTCCTGAAGACTGCTTCTCCCACTTATGCTGTTACATGTTACTTCCATCAGTGTTGCAATATCTACTGATTTGAATTGTTTGCTAAGTTTAAGAAATAAGGTAAAATAAAAATATGTAAAGGCAGTAATATATCAAGTGCAAACTTTGCATTCTAAATAGCAACACTTTTTGGAAGTGAAACTTGGCAGAGAACAAGAAGCAGTCATGTAGAAATTTGTAAATACCTATAACTTACTGTACAAATTTTTAGTACTTGCAAAACTAAGTTTTGAAATGACAAACACACCAAAAATTTTGTTATGTAACAGACTGGGAACTCACTATGCTATCACCTTGTTTCACTACTAAACTGAAAGATGATTTAGAATACTGAATACTTCTAAACTGTCTAAGATGTTAACAGTTGCTTTCTATGTGAGACAAAAATATATATAGTGGAAATACCATTTAGTGTTCCTCAAGTTAAGGTTTCCCTCATGTTATGCTCAACTTCAATGATCCCATTTCCGCCTTCAAAATTATCCTCAGTTTAGCATTAAAATCCACTGCTCCCCTAAAAAGCCTTAAATTATATAATATATTATATAACAATATATTCTTACCAATGTCTTCAAGTTCCAGCTTGGTCTGATCATCAGAAAATCCAAGAAGAACCTTGTTGTCATTCTGACTGTAGATTTTCAACCCAAGAATTCCATTCCAATAATCAATTGACTGCTGCAAATTAGAGCTAGCTAGGGCCACCTTTTCAACAGGATCTTTGATCAAATAATTCATGATTAGAAATAATAACACACAACAAACATATTTTATGATACAAATGACTGTTCTATGAAATGTGACAGATGTAGCCTGCCAGAATGTTCCATCAGACTAACATACGGTAATGATCTCGATTATATGCATCACATCCTACACAGAAGATGCCAATCATTATAGCCACCAATATGAGAACCTCAAATCCTTCATATTTTATGATCCTTATATGCTCTCACAAGTTAAAATATGTCTGCTACATAAATTAAACCTTTAAATAACAACTCTTTAAAATGTTACATATAATTCAAACCACAAGCTTTGATACCACACACCAAAACAAATTTCTGACATTCATCTAGTAACAAAATCACTTGAGCAGCAAAAGCAGAAAAAAGATTGGAAAGGGTGTACCCAAACTGTAGAACACAGAATTACCCACAGCCTTCTTTGGAGTTTAATATCACCTGCTTAAGAAGGAATGAGAATAATAAAATACAAATCAGTGAAAAGTCTCCCATATAATTCAATTCAATATCAAATTTCAACAATGTGTTGAAGGGTTCATGGGATACACTAACAAGCCCATTTATGGCCCTATGTGAAGCAGGCTTTCTTAAGAATCAATATAGCCAAAAATAAAAAATGCACAAGATTTAGTGAAACTCTCAGTCGCCCACTAATGGAGCTGAGCCCTTCTTGAAAAGCTGCCATCTGTGCAGCTACTCAAAAATTTGCCAGCATTTTATGGAACCCAGAGGTTCATTACTGTGTTCGCAAAAGACCTCTACTGGTTCCAATCCAGAGCCAGAGCTATCCAATCCATACCATCCCAACCTCTCTCTCTAAAATCCATTTTAATACTGTCCACCCACCTACGTCTTGGTCTCCCCAGTGGTCTCCTTCCTTCCGGCTTTCCCACCAATATCTTATATTCAATCGTCGTTGCCACCATTCATGCTACAGACCCTGCCCATCTCATCCTCCTTGACTCGATGACTCTGATTATACTTGGAGAAGCGTACAAGTTATGAAGCTCTTCATTATGCAATTTCCTTCAACCTAGTCTGGCACGCAAAAAAAAAAACTGTGAAAGGGCTTATGAGATACATGGAAATGTCTATTTATAGCCTCACACAACCTGTGCTTTCTTATGGATCAATATGGCTGAAAATCGGAATTGTAAAATAATTTCTGGTGAAAGTCTAATTCTGAGCTTCGATAAAATCTGTGAAATGATTTATGGGATATGTGGATATGTCCATTTACAGTCTCATCTAAACTAAGTTAACTGTGGTTCAATATGGTTAAAAATCAGACTGCCCAGTAACTTCTGGTTATAGTCGCCCATCTCTCCAAAAGTGTTAAGTCCTGATTTTGGGCCCCAGACAGCTGAAGAGACATGACTTTCACAGAGAATGTTCTTTTCTATTCTGAGAAGACTGTCTAAAAAACTAAGGTATACACCAAACCTTGGAAATGTTGTCAGATAAGAGTCAAACCTTAACCCAATATTCACTACAGAAGGCCAATGAGGTGTGAAAACTATTCTCTTTGTAATATTCTTGCCTCCTTCCCAGCCCAATTTTCTTTCTTAAGGGAAAAAGTAGGCTCATGATATCACTATTCTGTCAACTCTTTTGAAAAATTGACTTTCATGTCATAACGGTATTAATGTTGTGCTGTCAAAGTCTACATTAACCTTATAATTTTTAATTTTGTATAGTTAGTAATATCAACATTGTGCATGAAATTGGAGTGATTCTAGTGCCACTTTAATGTATGGTCCTCAAATGATTTATAATAACAGATTTAAAAAAATATGTAATCTCTGATCAACCAGTTCTTTTTATAGAACATAAAGCAAAAACACTGTGCAGTCTTCTTAAGAATTTCATTTAGCTTTCAGATTGGCAGTGATAATTACTGGATAAGGAGTGGAAACAAGAATATGAAATATTGTGTGCAGAAAGATTATACACATACCAGCAAATTATGTTCAAGTTAAAAGATAATTACAAATATGGCAAGAGTACAAAACTTTGAGGATACGTTTGACAAATTTAACACACACAGAATCTGTACTTACACACCAACTTCTTCCTCCCAATACTACTACTGCTGCCCTCACAACCACCACCAATCTATAATATATCTGCAATTGCAAGCAATAAAAGCATTTTGATTTGAGCAGGAGTCAATCCAACAACTGTCTCTGTATATACCGAGGAATGCTAACCTATGAGTTCAACTGCTTTTATTGTGGGACTGTAAACTTAACATTGCCGGTCACGGTAGCCGAGCGGTCTAAGGCATGCACTGTCTTCGCTCACTCGGAAGCCGAGATCGTGGGTTCGAATCCCACTCAGGGCATGGATGTTTGTGTGCGTTTTTCTGTGTTTGTCTACAGGTAGAGGCCTTGCGACGAGCTGATCACTCGCCCAAGGAGTCCTACCATATATGTAAGATCTAGAAAAACCGAAGCGAAAGGAGAATTTTGTGGAGGTAGGCCTAGGCCCACCGGGGCTGTAGTGCCAGGAGAAAAAAAAACTTAACATTACATAAAAATAACAAGATATGTGAAACTGAAAGTCCTGCGCTTTGAGTTCTGCCTGGAACTCCTAGTCTCTCATGCCTCTTGTATGCATTATTTACAGCACTTTTAAAAAGACACATCCCTGAAAACAGCATGCTACAAATTGTGGGTTTTACAGATCACAGTCACCTGAAGGCATCACATAATATTCTACTGACTTTACAACATAACTGTCTGACAAAGTACATATATTTCATTTCACATGACCTGATCCTCACCAGACTCATATCATGGAGACAGGAGACTGAGCTAGAACAAGAAGAAAGCAGTTTTCTGGGATGTGGCGCCATGGAGATATTGTGTTAAGTGACGTTTCAGAGGAACGTATCGCCTCCATCTTCAGGACAGAATAAAAATAAGAAATCTGTGTGCTAGTTCACATGCAGATTTCTTCTTCTTCTGACCTGAATATGGAGGCGATACGTTCCTCTGAAATGGTCAGTTAACACAATATCTACACGGTGCCACATCCCAGAAGACTGCTTTCTTCATAGTCACTGCCATGAAAACCTCAAGAGATAGAACAAGTTTACATAATGATTAGAAGTTCTATGAAGCTGCATTTCATGGATGTTAGTATGAGAGCAGAGGACAGAAATCCGGCCAACACATCAAGCAATGCAAAAAAAAAAAAAATCAACTATGCAGCTGGCATATTCTACCTTTGTCTAATGGTTGGGGTTCATTAATGAGTAAGAATCTGTAGCCTCCAGGAGCCTCCAAAACATGATGTCCACCCTCCTCTTTCAAAGGCCAGCCTTGGGCTTTGGCTCTCTCTATAGCTTCTTTAGATCGTATTGTCAATCCCAATAAGTCATTTCCCTTGTCATATGATGTAACACCATAATTGTATGTCAGTTCCACAACAAAGTGAGTATCTTCTGGGCCATACCCAACCATGGTCTTACTCCACCTATTGTCATATGGACTAAAAGAAAAACAAATATACACACAATCTTATGTAATGAGACAAAAACTACATATAATGCATAAATGTATGCTACAATAAATATGTTACCCAATTCAAACTACGTATAACCAGGCACCTCATAAGGAAGTGATTCTTGTACTGGTAGTGACAGTGGTAGTGATAGGTTTTACAAAATACCAAACAATTACATAAAATTACTGCCTACTGCTCTGAAACCTGTATACAATAACTGAAAAAGTTAATTTTCATCTAAAGTGGTTTCTCAATACTAGGTTAGAGATTTTAAATTTAACATGTCATATAATACCTTCTTTCATAGTATAACAAATGACAGGATTAGGGGAGAAATGTATGGTTAACTCTGTGATGGACCAAAACTGTCACCAGCCACTAATTTGTAAAGAAGCCAGAAGTTATGACCTTCGGTTTACACATTACAGCTAAAACCATGTGTTGGTTTGTGAAAACTGGTGACAAATCTGTGGACTCAATTTGGGCCAAAGGGTTTTGCTCTGGAGTAAAATTTGACCACCAGTTTTCTTACCAATATGAAGTTATGTTCTCATGTGAAAAAGGGATGTCCTATTGCATCACGCCATCCATTAATAAATATCTCATTAATGACAGGAGTCTTCACCATCAATCTAGTTTCATCTCCCAGTGACAGATATTGTGTGTCCACCATTACAGAAAAGATAAAACAACTTCATAATAGTGTCACGTGACCTGAGTTCAGGGGCGGAGCATACATGTGTACCTGTTTCTGGACACTTTTCAACTTCAACACCCCACCAATCGGTTTCTAGATTCTTTGTGAGCTGCGCACCCTACAGTACCAGCCGAAGATGACTGTGTACCTGTGAGATGTTTCTAGAAGGCCTTAATCTGTACGAAAGTGTTGTGGAGTTCTCAAGAGAGCTATCAAATCCCATCATGAACTTGGAAGCAGCATACAGCAGGTGTGTGTAAACAGATATGAAATAGTGTGGATCGCTCGACATGAAGTTACTTCAATGATGGCAGTGTGAGATGCAAGAATAGGACAGTACAATGGCATACAGTAAAACAGTACTGGAAAAGAACAAACTGAGAATTTCTGGGTTTCTGGACTTTATCCATCATCTAGTATCTAAAAACACCAGAGAACACAATGTTTCGGACTCTGGATGTTTCCACCCTCAGGTGAGGCTGAAGACACCTACTCTGTTGTGTCTCTTAGAAAGAGCTAATCTCAATCACTGGACAGAAACAGATCCAGTTTCCAAAACGTTGTGTTCTCTAATGCTTTTTTTAGAATACCAGACAATTGATAAAGTTCAAAGACCGGTAATTGTGAGTGTCATATGGAACCCTTTAGAATCTATAAGAATAAGCTGCCATCGAGATCTTCAGTGGCTACTGAAATTGAGACAATAAATATCCTGATGCACAATAAACATTACAATATGGTGACCATATAATAATTGTTGCTGAGTTTAAGCGTTGTTTCCAGTTGCTGAACCCAATATGAAACATTCCAACTCACTAAATCCTCCTAACATATCACTGAATTTAGGTTTTATCCAATGTTACTAGCCTTACCATACACAATTCTAATTACATAACTCACTGGCCACTGTGAAAATGTATGCAGATAAAATTATAGTGTATTAAGCACCAACTAGATCTAGATGATATTTTTCAGATGACAAACCCCCTATATTAGGGTGGTACAGTGTATACTGTAAAGATATGCACGAGAATTAGATGTAAAACTGACAATTTCCCTATCCAAATGGTTGTAATACCTGTATGTATGGATTGTTGAATGATAATAAAATGAAATAAAATGAAATGAAAAACTCTGATAGTTACCCATTGCATGCAGCATCACAGCCTTCTTTGAACTCCTCGTGCCTCAGGACCTTAAAACAAGATTTATAGGTGCTCTTAAAAAAAAAAAAAACACACTTCTGCAAACCAATAATAAAATCTACACTTGCATCCCAGTATGGAGGGGGGGGGGGGCATGATCCATTTTTGACACCAGAATCTGTATACTGTCACCATGCATGTTTGAGATCAGACTGTGATCTTCTGGGTTGGGACACTTGGTAGTCTTGTAGGCTGATACAAGTATTTTGGAGCTACAACTGTCTTGGGTCACACAGGCAGGTTCCAAGGACAGTGATCACTTATATCTACTGGAGGGACAGAACCAAGTCACAGCCAATAAAAAGTGATAATAAGAGCTATTTTCAGGACCACAATATTATCATAACAAGAAGGAAATGGAATAAAAAAAAACCCTTTTAAGGGCCCTTGTTCCCTCAGGAGGAAGTATCTTGTCCATTGAGAAAACCTCCCTTTCCTTCAGGAAGTGGATAAGAACCTTCCATAACCTGCTCAAAGAAAAGCCATCTTTCCTCTTCATGTCAATAGGGTGCAGCTCAATCACTATCACTTCCCTTATGATCCAGATGCTGCATCTTACCCTCTACCTGAATATGAAACTACAGTCATATTGTGACCTTCTGGGTTACAATACCAGGTAATCAGTACCCACCTACCATACCGCAGTGTGTCACAACCCAAAAGACCACAGTGTAAACAATTTTGCAAATATGAAACTTAAACTTAAACTTATACTTTAGAGGAAGTATGAGTTTGAATGGGGAAAAACAGAATTGTGATGAGAAACTGAAACCCTCCTGACCACTGGCAGGTTACTATATATATACACACACTTATGTAATTTCTTCTATTCCTGTTCCTACCCCTGTGCAAAAATAAATTTGAATTTTAGTTGTTGAGTCCCACTTAAAAAAAAAAGAGTTCTTAGATCTTCCATACAATTTGAAATTATATGCACCTTTCAAGAGATCCCTCTATTTAAAAAAAAAGAAGAAGAAGAAGAAATGAATGCAAACAAATGCATAACTTTCGTAACACAATGTGCAAATTGGGCAAAGGGTTGTGGGGGTTGGGTTGATCCCACTTCATTTCATTTGGCTTAGTTAAACACCGGGATGGGTGCAGTAATATGCAATTTACGCCTACAGTGATACTAAGCTACGAATTAATTTACGACTAGAGGTGAACTGTATGCTTTCAGACTCAATTTCACGCCGAATTTCCGCTCAGTTATAAACGTCACAACGCAAGAGAATTACTTACCTTCATGCCCAAGATCTCCCGATAAAACTTCGAAGTCAATGTTCTATCTGCTACTTTAAAAACAAAATGCAAAGCTCTCCCTGATATCATTTTTATTACTGAGTGATAAAATACTGCGAATTACTTAAATAAATTTTATACAACCAGAACATCAATTCGTTCCACTCAACTCAACCAAGGCACCAACTCATGCGCGACGCGCTCCACAACCTCCACAAAGATAGCATTATGCAAAAGTAATCCTTGACCACTGACATTCCTCGACAGTTGCCTGCCAATTTTCTGCCGACCATAGACAACTTCTGAAGCACCAACACTACAAACGCAAATTTCCCAAGCTACTGCAGGCCAGCAAAGTACATCACGGATTATGAGCAGCTGGATGATATTATCTGAGGAGTTCTGTCTTTTGGGCTTTACTGCCATGCAGTCCAGTGAAAGTCAACCGATGTTTCGAAGGAATATATCACCTCCATCTTCAGGGTAGAAGAATAAACTGAGCAAGAAGCCCTGGATCCATGCTTTGCTTACTCTGCAACTCTGAAGAGGAAGGCAATATGTTCATCTGAAATGCTAGCTGGCTTTCATAGGACTACATGACATTATATCCCAGATCATGTAACTCTTAAAAGACATCCTTGTGAGAATCTCAGATCACTTGTATCTTTGAAACCCTGTGTCTGGTACCTTGATAATGATCACTACTGTTTCACATCCTCTCTCCTTCTCTTACCTTCCTACCTCACCCAACAATACCAAAAACAGACCGTTCTAACTGCAGTATTCCTGTGAATGAATTGTTGCCATGAGAAGAAATAAATTCCGAAGTTGCAAAAGACTTACTGCTTCCATTTTCAGTGCAAAAGTGAAGACAGCTGAGTTTAACAGTATTATGCTTTTCATTTCCATGCAGAGAAAAATGCAAGTTTATATCCAATTTACACAATCCAACAGATTCAATATTTCATTAATATTGTCATAAATGTGTCAAAATAGATTACAGTATTTTTCTTTTCATGCATAAGTCAAACGGTGGTAACAGACACTGAAAGTCCAGTGCTGTTAATACTGAAGCCCATCTCTTGAGAATTCTGGGTCAGGTCCATTTGCCTTCCATCTTGACAGCCTGCAAGAGCCAGGTTCTTTATTTTCAAAGAGATTTCTCTCTTAAAATTAGGTATGCATATATTGTCTCCCCATACACTTCAAGTCAAAGACATTTCAGTTTTAAGATAATGACTTTCTGAGATGTGATGCCATGTTGTTTGGTAGACAGCAAGCAATATTTTGGAAGAATATGCTCCTCCATCTTCAGGGATGATGCAGGCAGCAGGTAGCTCCAAAAATGTTTGTTGCCGTCTTAAAAACTAGATATTATCGCATGTCTTAGTATTCACCCCTATGAGAATCACCTTAATTTTCTTGACTTCATTACCATAAGAATATTATGTGATCAATATAAATAGGAAAATCCCTCATTTAGTAATATATTAATTCCCCACTAATTTAATCTGTCTTAGCTCCAAATACTTCTCTGAACACTTCCCAGCTGTTGTAATCTGTAGTCTTTATGCACAGCGAGGCATTGAACAACCATGCAAATGACATAAAGCAGTGGTATAAACTAGTATAAAAGATTACAATATTATATTTAAGCATCCTGTTGCACTCTACACGATAAATGATACAAACTCCGTCCTAAGTGCAAACAATATACATTTATATGTCTTTGATCTTGTTCTTTCTACACTACATGTTTCGGCCTCTATCGGCCATCATCAGGTGTATACTCTTAACGTTGCTGCCACACTGAACCCAGTCTAAAACTTAACATTTAAAAACACAATGTCACGTTCTTCCTATTATCAACATCTACATCGTTGATATGTGTCTGGTATGTAGATTATGTTGCACACGTCAAACCCGATATTCTTGTAGTAGCACTCTAAAAATCTTTAGTTATGATGTTTTTAAAATCTTTTAAAATTTTCTCTAAATTTTAAATTTAAAATTTAAAATTCTTAGGGTTACTCGCCCTATGTCTAAGTGCTGGAGCGGCTAGTTCTTGTTTTCACACTGTACAGGTGTTATTTAATGTAGTCTTCTTGTGTGAATGTGTTGATAATAGGAAGAACGTGACATTGTGTTTTTAAATGTTAAGTTTTAGACTGGGTTCAGTGTGGCAGCAACGTTAAGAGTATACACCTGATGATGGCCGATAGAGGCCGAAACATGTAGTGTAGAAAGAACAAGATCAAAGACATATAAATGTATATTGTTTGCACTTAGGACGGAGTTTGTATCATTTATCGTTATAGTATAAAAGATTATTAACGTCATCCAGTGTCACTGACAAATGTTTTTTCTTTTTTTTAATCTTTCATCCTTTACATGTTTCGGTTGGAGCGACCATCTTCAGATAGACATATCAATACATGTGGAAACTACTATTATAATGTCACTAGTCATTATCTTTACATACATACACCATTATTACAATGTCATGAATATAAAATATTAGCCTTTAACAATTACAGCGATATGTATGAATTTATTAAAATATTTATGAATTATTATAGTTAGTCTATTTACAAGTATGGTTTAAAACTTTGTTAAAATCTAGAACCAATTTGGTTCATGTCCTTTATACTGCTTCTCTTTAAAGAAGATGAATGTCTACCACATCATGGTTCCATTGTTTGAAGAGCATGACTCTCAGTGTCGTCCAGGTGTTCTGGACATGCTGTGTTGTCATACTTTCTTTCTGAAGATGGTCGCTCTGAATGAAACATGTAAAGAATGAAAGACTAAAAAAGGAAAAACATTTGTCAATGACACTGGATGACGTTAATAATCTGTTATACTAGTTTATACCACTGCTTTATGTCATTTGCATGGTTGCTCAATGCTGTTGTAACACACGCAGTCACAGGAGCAAGACACAACATAAAGCACAATACACACACGAAAATAGAAAGAGTGCTCCGACAGAAGAGGATAGATGTGACTCGAGTAGTGAGATACGACGTAGGAAAAATCCTGAACAATTTTAATATTTTTAATATTTAATATTTATCAATATATGTGATAAATATATATTTTAATTATTTTAATATGAAGACGACAAGGCATGCAGTGAACTATTTTAATGTTAATCGAATAAGCACCTGAAGATGGTACTTTTGTGCCGAAACATGTAGTGCAAGAGAGAGGAGTGAGGTAGATAAGTGTATGCACTAGAAGACGGTGAAATAAATCATGGAAAGAAAAAACATTTATCAATCACACTGGATGGTGTTAATAATCTTTGTACTATTGCTAGCGTGACAGTCCAGGATGAACGAAGACATAAAGCATTGTTCTGTATAATTGTATATACACTGTCAGTGTTGTAGAAAGTAAATAGAGTAAGAGACTTTTAACTGAACAGTACGGAGCAATTCCTGACATAATTCTTGTTCATTATTGTTATTAACAGATGACTTAAATTCTGAAGATTTTTTAAAATTCTGTATTACCTGTTTTTACCGTTTCAGTAAAGAAATACTGGATTATAGAACCAAGATCATTCCCTCTTCCACACCCTAAGTGGACGATAACTCAAGTATACTATCATAAATAAATGCCAATTAAAATTATTAATTTCTGTGAATGAATTTGGAGATTGAATATTATGTAATATTCATTGTATAGACAAGGTGTGAAATTTTAGCATCAGTATAAGCAGATGACTTAACAAAAGTGTTTTTTTAACAGTCAACAGGAAAATTCTCTTGGACTCCACTTATTCCTAAATAAATAACTTTGACAGATTTTGTTGTCAGCATGTATTAGATTTATGGACATTTCAATGGCAGCAGACAAGTTTCATACCAAATGCAGTCTGCTTATTACTGGTGAAGTGAAATATGACTGATTAAATTATGAACATGTTTACCATACGACTTCTTTTCTAAAAACTGAACAAGATATACGCCTTCCCACTATCATGGTTGACACAAACATACAGATGCTCAGAAGTCACTCATTCACAACTGATGACTTAATCTATACTACCTATATACTTGCTAGTATGTTGGTGTGGTAATTAGTCTCACATCTATTGGTCTATTATGGAGAACTTAAGAAATAAATTCTGCATGTGTTTTCAAAATATTTAAGTCCAAAGTGTGTAAATTAACANTCCTTTACATGTTTCGGTTGGAGCGACCATCTTCAGATAGACATATCAATACATGTGGAAACTACTATTATAATGTCACTAGTCATTATCTTTACATACATACACCATTANCAACCAACCAACCAACCAATCTACCAACCAACTATATCACTCTATCCTATTCCTCCAAGACCCATTTAAATATTATTCTGCCATCAATGTCTANTTACAATGTCATGAATATAAAATATTAGCCTTTAACAATTACAGCGATATGCATGAATTTATTAAAATATTTATGAATTATTATAGNTAGGTCTTCCTATTGGTCTCTTTCCTTCTGGCTTTCCCACCAAAATACTGCATGTATTCATCTTCTGTTCCAAGTCTGCTACTTGTCCTGCNTTTACAAGTATGGTTTAAAACTTTGTTAAAATCTAGAACCAATTTGGTTCATGTCCTTTATACTGCTTCTCTTTAAAGAAGATGAATGTCTACCACATCATGGTTCCATTGTTTGAAGAGCATGACTCTCAGTGTCGTCCAGGTGTTCTGGACATGCTGTGTTGTCATACTTTCTTTCTGAAGATGGTCGCTCTGAATGAAACATGTAAAGAATGAAAGACTAAAAAAGAAAAAACATTTGTCAATGACACTGGATGACGTTAATAATCTGTTATACTAGTTTATACCACTGCTTTATGTCATTTGCATGGTTGCTCAATGCTGTTGTAACACACGCAGTCACAGGAGCAAGACACAACATAAAGCACAATACACACACGAAAATAGAAAGAGTGCTCCGACAGAAGAGGATAGATGTGACTCGAGTAGTGAGATACGACGTAGGAAAAATCCTGAACAATTTTAATATTTTTAATATTTAATATTTATCAATATATGTGATAAATATATATTTTAATTATTTTAATATGAAGACGACAAGGCATGCAGTGAACTATTTTAATGTTAATCGAATAAGCACCTGAAGATGGTACTTTTGTGCCGAAACATGTAGTGCAAGAGAGAGGAGTGAGGTAGATAAGTGTATGCACTAGAAGACGGTGAAATAAATCATGGAAAGAAAAAACATTTATCAATCACACTG